GTCCCTGAGGAGGAGCCTGGGTAACCTACCTGTAGCAGTGGCCGGGCTCTGTCCGTCCTGCTCTGCCTGCTCGCTGGTCAGCTGATGCCTGGGAGACCCAGGTGACATGGAAGGAGGACACGCCGGTGACGCGGTCGTAGTAACGCTTCTTGACCTTCCCACAGTCCACCACGTACTTGATGCCAGGGATGGTAAGAGACGTCTCGGCAACGTTGGTGGCCACAACACACAACCGAGTCCCCTCCGGTGGAGGCTTAAAGACCTAGGATTCAGGGAGGGGATGGCAGGAAAACACCAGAATCAGGAAAGAAATCGTAGAATGGAGGTCCAAGGACAGAGCCAGCCAGGCTGGTGTGCTGGAGAGGTAGCAAGGACAAGCCATCCCATCTGGGACCCAGTGCCTTGCAGGACTGTTCCCTGTTCTCCAAAACTACCTCAATATTCCTCAAAACTCTGGGGATGCTGGTCAAACGATGGAGAGGACCAAGGGCTTGACTAACCTCACTGCAATGTCCTTAAAAGTGCCCCAAAAGCTGGGCACCGGCCCAGCACGGTTACCTGTGCTTGCCTCTCTGGGGCCAGCAGAGAGTACAGCGGGAGCACGTGGAGTGGGAGGGAGGCGTCCGGCTGCTCACCTGGAGGGAAAGCAGAGGTTACTGGCACCCGGGCCGGGACAGATGCCCACAGGCAGGAGCCAGCCACAGCTGCCCTGCACCCGTAGGCTGCTCCACCAGAGCTCCTTTCTTTGCCCTGCTGAGGAGGCTCCCCTCGGGACCAGCCAGGCCAAGCCTGGGGGGACTGCTGAGAGGTTCCCAGGGGCTCTCTTATCTCTACTGCCCTGAGTCAGATCTGAACCCCTGCTGTGCTGCACAATCTCCTCCTCCAAACCCCTGGCATGGATCCTGGGGGCCTGACTCTGCTCTTCGTGTCCTGGCAGCACTGTGGTAGGCTCAGGCTGAGCCAGTACTGGGGTACCCTCTGCTGCCCCACTCAGCCCCTGGCTAGGCACAGCAGGGCACTGGGTCCATCTACATTCGGGGGCTCCTGCGAGCACACGGAGCGGGGCAACACCCCTGGGCCCTGGAGACCCGCACCTGTCAGCAAAGGGGTTGGCAGCCCCATTACATCCTGCACGGCAAATGTTCCAGGCCTCCTCGTGCCGGGCACTTTCAAAGAACTCAGGAAGCATCGAGGACAAAGCTGCTAGAACCCTGGCCCCCAGGGGGCCACAAGGGCTCTGGGCACAGCCTCAGGGCAGAGCTAATGCACGTGAGCAGGAAGCGGGGCTAGGAACACACCTCCATCTTGCCCGCCATCCCCCAGGTCCAGATCGAGGTCGGAGTCCAGGGCCCCCTCTTCCTCGTCCACTTCCGCCTCCCTGTCCTCATCGCCTTCACCTGCCGGCAACACCGAGTAATGATCCAAGTTGATCTGGGGCAGCACCTACGGCGAACACACAGACACCCGGGCTGCAGGGACCCTGGGTGTGAGGATGAGGCATGTGCAGGAAGACAGGTGCCCTCATGTGGAAGCCCCGGTCCACACCCCCGGGCCGTGTGACCCGGGGCAGGCCACATAACTATCTCTTCCTGTCTGAGTTTTCCCACCTAAACAATGGGGACTATCACAGACCTTGTCTCTCAGGCTGGTGGGAGGGTCATGCGAACACATGTGAAGAACTTGGATCACTGCCTGACACATCAGTAGGGCAACAGGCAAGCTGGAGATGGCTGAGTACTTACGCTACTGTCACGGACTGCAAGACCCACGGTGCCTTCATGCAGAGGCTAGAGGAAAGCACCTCCCAGCCCAGCCATCCCAGAGTAGCTGGGAGTACATGCCCATATCACCATGCCTGGCTAATTTTGTATTTTTAGTAGAGACGGGGTTTCGCCATGTTGGTCAAGCTAGACTTGAACTCCTGACCTCAGGTGATCCACCTGCCTCAGTCTCCCAAAGTGCTGGGATTACAGGCATAGCCACCACGCTTGGCTTTTCAGAGACAGAGTCTCACTCTGTTGCCCAGGCTGGAGTGCAGTGGGGCCATCACGGCTCACTGCAGCCTTGACCTCCTGGGCTCAGATGGTTCTCCCGCCTCAGCCTCTGAGCAGTTGGGCCCACAGGCATGTGCCACCACACTGGATTAATTTTAAAAATTTTTTGTAGAGACAGGGTCTCACCATGTTGCCCAGGTTGGTCTCAAACTCTAGGCCTTAAACGATCCTCCCACCTTGGCCTCCCGAAGTGCTGGAATTACAGGCATGAGCCACTGTGCCTGACCAGGAACTGGATTTTTAATTTCATTTTATTCCAATTACACTTAAACCTAAGCAGCCACATGGTGCTGGTGGCTGCTATCCTGGACAACGCAGCCTTACTCTCCAGGAGTCCCTGCCAGCCCCCCACGTACCTCGGTCCGCGCCTTCTTGGCCCTGGCCCTCGACTTCTTAAACTTCCGCATTTCCTGCGCTGAGTCTTTCTGATCATCGTCCTTTTCTGGAAAAGGGGCAGGTTGGAGAGAAAGGCGTGTGTGGCCTGCATGGTCACTAGCACACTGCTCTTTGTTGTTCAAGGCACGGCCATTTATTCGGGGCTGAGGTGGGGGACGGCAAAGGTGCTGACGCTCCCAGAGGGAAGCTCAGAGGCGGGAGCTGCACCCCAGCCAGGGAACGTGAGGCCAGGCCCAGCTGCTCAGGGCAGAGCGCGGGTCAGGGAGTCCTCTTTACCTTGTGGCCGGGCTCTGGAGAGTGGGAAAGCCTTCCTAAGCCTGCGGCACAGCGCGTGCACCTCAGCCTGCCCCGTCAGGAACACCAGGATGCCACCTGCAGAAAGAACGGGCCCCTCTGTTATCCATCAGTCACTCACAAACATTTGCTTAGCAATGGGCACCTGCCAGGCCCTGCTCTGAGAGGCGGGGCTCCAGGGATAATGCGGGAGGACAGGGGTACACAGACATAGACGAGCAGGAGGCAGCACCCTCAGACTGAAGGAGCTGTTGCCAGGGAGTTCAACAAACACAGCGACCACACAGCCCAGCAACGCCACTCCCAGGCACAGACCCAAAAGCCCTGAGAAATGTGCTCAAGTGAAAACTTGCACACCACACTTGTGACAGCGCCGTGGCTGCCCTGACACCCGAGGCTGCAGGAAGGCTCACTGCCCAAGCTTCCGCCTCGCCTCCCGCCAGCCCCAGTCTCCCAGAGAATGGATGGGAGCCCCGAGAGGCTGTAAGCAGAGCAAGGACAGAGCATCATGAAGCAGCGACCTCAGCTTCCTTGAAGGAGGAGTTCAAGCTTGGTGGGAAGCACCCCCACGGCTCCCTGCCTCCCTAACATGAAGAAAGTCAGCCTTGGGCCCGAATTCAGCACACAAGAGTCTCTGATTAGGCTGGGCACGGTGGCTCACACCTGTAATTCCAGCACTTTGGGAGGCTGAGGCAGGCAGATCACCTGAGGTCAGGAGTTCGAGACCAGCCTGGCCAACATGATGAAACCCCATCTCTACTAAAATACAAAAAATTAGCTGGGCGTGGCAGTGTGCACCTGTAATCTCAACTCCTTGGGAGGCTGAGGCAGGAGAATTGCTTGAACCCAGGAGGCGGAGGTTGCAGTGTGCCGAGATCCGCCACTGCACTCTAGCCTGGGCAACAAAAGTAAAACTCTGTCTCAAAAAAAAGTAGAAGTGATCACTGGCTAGAAGTGATCACAATCTATTCACACAGAAAGGTCACGTCCATTTCCGTAACATGAGGTGAGTAAAGGATCGGGTGTGATGGGGACAAGGCAGAACTGTGAAGGGTATCCGTGATTCTCGAGGGGATGTGCCTGTTCCCTTGCAGTGTCTATGGTCACCTGCCAGCACCGGCCTGGGCTCTGTGGGTTTTTCTGCTTATCAGATGGGGACAGATGGCAAACTCTACCATCTGGTAGCTGCTGAAGCCTCACAGTATTTTGAGTGGAATAAGGCAGGACAGGTGTTGTGAACACTCTGGAGTAAGTGAGGAAGTGAGGCCTAGCAGGGACAAGGGACTTTTCTGAGCCACTCGGAGATGGGCCCTCCCACACTTGTGCCTTCAGCGAGGGTTTAGGAAGGGAGGCTCCTTTCCCCTGACCTGGCCAGGGCCTCACCTGCGGGCAGCATCCGGTGGATCTTGCAAATCTTCCGGAAGCACTCGCCGCTGTAGTCTTCCAGTGGTGTCCGCTTGTTGAAATGCACAGTTACTGGGAACTGCCTGGATTCCACCTGTGGGATGCCCAGAAAGGCGCGGTGGGGGGCGAGCTTCGGCCCAGGGCTGCCTTCCCTTTCCCCATCATTCTGAATCAAGGTTTCCAACACCCTCTCCAAGCTGCTGTCAATCCCCCATGGGACCAAGTGAGGTCTCTCAGGAGGCTCCCGACACCAGGGCGTCCTTGTGCCGTCCAAGCTCACGGAGGACCTGGGACCCTGTGTTACCTTGATGACCGGGGGCGGCTTGGCGAAGAGCCGCAGGTTCTGGGTGAAGTCCTCCACCCGCAGCGTGGCTGACATGATGAGCAGCTTGAGTGGCAGGTTCCTCTGTGAGAGGACAGGCTTGGTGACCACGGCCCCAGTACTACAGGTGGGTCCGAAGCCTGGGAAATCAGCATGAGGGTGCCCTGCTGCCCACCCCGTTTCCAGCCCCCACCCTCTGCCCCTTTCTGGATGCCAAAGGCTCCTTGGAGAAAGTGAGTCAATAGCGGGACCTGCTGCTCCCAGGGCGGTGGCTTGTTCCAGGGTATCTTTCAGAGTCAGGCTTTGATGGTGGAATATGAGGCAGGTGGGCTGAGACTGGGGCCCACCCAACCTAGCTCCCACCTGACACCAAGATTCACCGGGTGTCTGTTCTGGGGGCTCAGGGAGGAGCTGCCTGATTCTCGGAGGTCTTTGGGGGTGGGAGGGAGCTCTCTGGTCCCCAGGCCGCTCAGCAATGCCTGATGGCCTCATGATGAGCTCTGCTTCAAGCCCTTGCTGCCTTTGCTGCTAGGAAACCCCAAACCCAGAAGCTAAGGAGTGGCCAGAGCACCTCTGTGGGAGGCATGGCACCCAGCACAGGCCCCTCTCTTGCTCCACAGTGACCGTCCCTCTCTGCCCTACCCCCGTGCCTTCCTGACTCCACCTCACGCTCGCTGCTTGGCCACTCTAGACTCCCTAAAGACACAAACCAAGACCACAGTGAGATATCACTTTCCACCCACAGGGATGTCTAGAATAATAAAAATGGAAAATGACAAGTGTTAGCAGGATGTGGAGAAGCTGGAAGCTCTGCCACTGCTGGTGGGGAAGTACCATGGAACTCTGCAGCCACTGTCGGAAATCATTTGCAAACGGTTACAGAGTGACCATGGTCCAGCTTCTTGGGAGGCTGAGGCAAAAGGATTCCTTAAGCCCAGAAGGTCGGGGTTGCAGTGAGCTGCGATTGCACCACTGCGCTCCAGCCTTGGTGACAATGAGACTCTGCCTCAAAAAAACAAAACAAAACAAAAATCACCACCACAAAAAACTGTAAAAGGCACAGGGTTTCTTTTTGTTTTTGTTTTTCAGATGAAGTCTCGCTCTCTCACCCAGGCTGGAGTGCAGTGGCGCGATCTCGGCTCACCGCAAGCTCTACCCGCTGGGATTAAGTGATTCTCCGGCCTCAGCCTCCCGAGTAGCTGGGATTACAGGCGCCCGCCACCAGGCCTAATTTTTGTGTTTTTAGTAGAGACAGGGTTTCACCATGTTCACCAGGCTGATCTCGAACGCCTGACCTCAAGTGATCCACCCACCTCAGCCTCCCAAAGTGCTGGGATTACAGGCGTGAGCCACCGTGCCCAGCCTAGGGTTTCTTCTGGGATTGATGAGTGATGAAACGTAAAACTGTGGTGATGGCTGCACACTCTGTGAATGGACTAAAAACCATTGAATTGTACATTTGAATGGATGAATGATATAAAATGTGAATCACAGCCCAATAAAGCTTGTTACCAAAAGAAAAAAGGCACCAGGCAGATGCCCACCTCCGGACCTCTACACTGCGCTCCTCCAGTCAGACTTCTCCCTGCTCTGCGACGCACGCTGCTTGCTCCCTCCCTCACTCAGCCCTCCACTCGAGCTCAGAGATCACCTTTCGGGTGAAACTCTCACTAGCCCCGCATCCTCCCTCCACTGCCCCCGGTTTTGTCCGTCACTGGCTCACACACTCTGAGTCTGCGTCCTGCCTGCCACCTTTGCTGAAGTGGAAGCCCCAGGAGGGCAGGAACTGTTAGAACAAGATGGTGTCTTGTTCACTGTCGATTATCAGGGCCTTGAACATGGCCAGGCTCGTGGCACATGTGGAGCACAGGCCCCTCTCCCCGCCGGGAGGGTAGGACAGGCCTCCTGCACGGAGCCCAGCCCCCGGGTGGCACCCTCCACTCAGCAGGCCTGTGTCAGGTTGGGGCAGGGAGATGGAGAAAGAGGCCCTGGGGAGCCCCTCTCAGAGTTCCGGGAGTCTGACCCTTGGCGGGGCAGGCCCACCCGCTCTGCTGATCCCAGAGGCCCAGAGGCCTCATCAACTGGACCATTGCGCCTGGCCAGGCATCAGCACTTCGCCTGAGCCTCTTGCTTTGGGTGCGGAGAAGGACACCAGTTTATGAGGCTGGTGCCGGGGCGGTGGGGAAGGGATCATACAGGGGCTGTTCCAAGATTCACAGCCCTGGCACAGGGCCTAGACCTAGGCCCAAGGGGACCTTGTCCTTCGGGCACCTGCTCATGGCAGCAGCCCAGGGTGCAACGGGGAACAAGTGAAGGGAGCCCAAGCCTCCGACAGAGCTGGGGGGGGCCAGGGCTTGGGGCTCCCCAGCACCCGCCTCCTGCTCTACCTTGGCCCGGAGAGTCACAATGCGGGACAGGAGGCCGATGAGGATGTCCGTGTACACGCTCCTCTCGTGGGCCTCGTCGATGATCACCACCTTGTACCGCAGCAGCAGGAAGTCCTGGGGGGAGGTCCAGGGGTGAGGCCCGCCCTCCCGGCCTGAGCCCCAAGGGCCGCTTCACGTCTCAGAACTCCCACTTGAGGAGACAGTGTGAGAGGAAGGGCAGCTGCTCTTCTTCAGAGGTGAGCTGCTCAACTCGAAGCCCGCAGGGCAGGAGGGCAGGTGGGAAATGGACATGAGATGGGGGGTAGGGCCGTGGGCAGTCGGACAGCAGATGCCACACAGACAGAGGCCACCCAGACCCAAACTGCATCCACCGACACCCCCAGGAGTCCCAGTGGCCTCGAAGCCAGGAGGGCTGGAATCACCTTTGCCATCCCCCTGGGAGACTGGCCCTGCCCAAGGGGATGTCACAGCCAGCACGGAGCACAGCTTCTTCACCAGACAGCAGTCCCCCACCCGGGCCCTGCAGGCTCTCCAGACACGCGTGCCATCCGCTTGATCAAATGGCCGGCTCCCTAGGAAGCGTGGGGCGCTTCCCCAAGGCCCAAGTGCGCTGATGGGAGGCAGCAGCTCGGGTTCCGATTTACAAACAGAAAGACCTTGGGACGCAGCTTCTGTGGCCAGGGACCGTGAAGACACACCCCTTCTCAAGGGCAAGGCCCAACGGCTCTCCTGTCCCCCAGCCTGAGGCTGGCACCCCACTCCGAGTCTGGTGCTGCCCCTCACCAAACGCAACGGGACTCGAAGCTCCCAAGAAGTGTCTGTGTCTGGGCCCACCGCAGGGCAGAGCCTGCACACCACAGGCTTTCAGTACACCCTGGGCAAAGCGTGAACTCTGTGAAACAGTTATAATAAAAATACAAGTTCACATTTCACGAGCACCTTCTAGGTACGGGCCACTGTGCTAAGCTGTTGGCATGCACTCTACAACTTCCACTTCAAAATGATTCTCGGAGGAATGCACTAACATACTCATCAAGAAACTGAGCTTGGAGAGGTTCAGTAACTCACCCAAAGTCACACAGCAGCACCATGGGAGTGCTACGCCTAGCACCCCACCCCCACGCCCACTGGCCTTGCTCTGTGAGCCAGGATCCACAACCAACCTTCTGGATTTCTTTGAGCAGCACACCATCCGTCATGAACTTGATTCTGGTCTCCTCTGTCACGTTTCCTTCATACCGGATCTGGTAGGAGACGACCCTGTGTGGGCAGAGTTCGGTTTAGGGCAGAGCCACGCCTGGCTGGGGCTGTCGCCATGGGGCCACTACAAGGCAGGTCATGGAGCAGGCAGGCGGCTTGAGGGCAGGGCCTACCAGCAACCCGAAACGAGGCCCAGACATCTCCCCAGTCCACTCTCCCCCTCCAAAACCCTGGTTTCTGAAGGGAAGGGAAGGAGCTGTTGAGGGCAACTGAGGAGCCAGGCTCCAAACACCTTGGCCAGAGCCCTCCTCGGATGGCGACCACGCCAGGAGACGCCGGGGAGACCTGCACGTGGGCTGGAGTGTGTTCTGGAGACTACACAGACTTGGCAGCTATCATAGGGGTACTATAGCTGTGTGTGTTTCACAAAAAGTCCTTGTCTTAACTCAAAAATTAGCCTGGTGTCGTGGTGCGCACCTGTAGTCCCAGCTACTCAGGAGGCTGAGGTGGGAGAATTACTTGTGCCCAAGAGGTTGAGGCTGCAGTGAGCCAAGATGGCACCACTGCACTGCAGCCTGGGCAACAGAACCATCTCAAAAAAACAAAAAATGGCTCACGCCTGTAATCCCAGCACTTTGGGAGGC